TTTGTCCAAGAAAAATATCATAATGGATGAGTGCTATAGATTATCCATCTAACTTTATGACAGAGCCGGGGAAATAGACATTCTTTATCCACTTTTTTTTTCCTGTGTAGATGGTTAGATCAAATTCTTTTGAGTTTAAATAGATCTCTTCCAGGAGTGTCTGTGGTGTTCTAGAACTTGATGCATATAGCACAATGCCATATGCAAACAGGTGAATCTGGAGGACCTGACACTATGGTTTTTAGTTTGGATTAACTGGGGGGGGCATGATGAAAGAGGTCCCTCTACTCACTGCTCTGGCAAGACCACATCTTGAGAATTGTGTTCGGTCCTAAGAGTCACATTTTAGGAAGAATATTGATGAAATGGAACAAATCCAGAGAAGCCCAATCAGGAAGGTGAGAGGACAGGAAACTGTACCATACTAAGAATAACTTCAAGGAACTCTGTATAAGATGAGAAGAGATGACTTGAGGGGGACATGACAGCTGTCTTAAAGTATTTGAAGGGATACTATCTGGAAGAGGTATTCCATTTGAACCATTTGGCTCCTGAAGGCACAACTAAGAGTAATGGGCTAAAAGCACATGAAGCTAGATTTTGGTTTACAGATAAACTTCCTAAAGATTAGAGTTGTCTGAAAGTGAAGTAGGCTCCCTCTGGTCATAGTAATATACATTACTGGAGGTCCTCAAGCATGGGCTAGATCAGGGTTCCCAAACTAATTTGGCCTACCACCCCTTTTTCAAGAAAAAAAAATTACTCAGCACCCTCTGGAAATCTATTTTTTTTTAACCCTTTAATATATTTTTTGAGATTTGTGTCATTTCAAAAATATATAAAATATTTTTTAAAAAAATGATATCTTAAATTTAATAATTTATTATAAATTTGTGTTTTTTTCCTGCATTGAAATTTTGATGATGCAATATCACATCATGTAACCATAGAGTATCAAATTGTAAACAAGTCATTGTACTCACACATTCTGGTCGATACATTCTGGACTTCCCAACAATACTGCCTGCCAACACTTACTTGTTAAGACCTGTCAGTGGACTTGACCACTGATGGGTTATAACTTGCATTTTGTGTGTTTATTTGAAAAATAATGTAATCGTTACTACTTTCTGTTATACAACAGATGAAACATGTATGAATGGTTTTTCAAAATTTTCTTCTGTTCTTTCCTTATGCTTCCATCACCCTTATTTTTATTTAACACCCCTCCCTCCCAATTGTACCTGAGGCTACTATTGTCCCCTTGGATTATTTCAGCACCCCTCCCCTATTGCCCACTTTGGGAACCTACAGGCTATATGCTCACTTTTTAGGCATATTACAGAAGGCATTCCTGTTCAGGTATATGTACTAGATAACTTCTGAGGTCCCTTCTAGCTCTGGAATTCTGTGATTCTAATGTGTCTTACTCTTCTACACTAGCATCCTACAAGGATTCTCCTGTATTTAGGAATTGTGTATCAAAATGTGAGTACTTCTAATAAAATATTGACATTTATTTGATAGATAGATTTGGCATGTTCTGCTCACTTTTTGAAACCAGTTCAAGAGAATATTTGGGGAAAAAAGTTGTGTTGCTATTTTGTTGCATCTTCCATTAAAGTCCTAACCTAACTTGCTCACTATGGCATTGAGATGAGTCAGTCAGTCAATGAACATTTATTAAGTACCTACTATGTGCCAGGAACTTTGCTAAGCACAAGGGATACAAAGAAAGGCAAATGACAGTCCTCGACCTCGAGTTGTTCACAAACTATTGGGTGAGACAACAAGCAAATGTATATCAAGGATAAATTGGAAAAAATTAACAGGAGGAAGACTCTATACTTGAAGGATTCAGTAAACTTTCTCATAGAGGGTGAGATGTTAGTTGGGACTTGAGGGAAGCCAGAGAAACCAGGAGGTAGAGGTGATGAGGGACAGCCAGAGAAAATGCCCAAAGCTGAGAGATGGAATGTCTTGTTCTTGGAGCAGCATGGAGACCACTGTCTCTGGATTGAAGAGGACACGGTGGTGGTGGTGGTGGAAGGGATGTGGTGATAAGATGTAAGATGACTAAAAAGACAGGGAACAGCTAGGTTATAAAAGGCTTTGAGTTCTTGAAGGTAATGCCAATGAATGAACTGCATATTCTGGCAGGACCAGCCAAGCAGGGAAGATGTTTTGTGTGGTGTGGTAAAAGACTCTTTATCTCTTAAAATTAAATAGCTGAAAAGATTCACTAGTAGATTAGGAATAAAGTTTTTTGTTTGTTTATTTATTTATTCATTTATTCACTCATTTATTTATTCATTTACTTATTTATTCATTCATTCATTCATTTATTTATTTATTTTATTTTATTTTATTTATTTATTTATTTGTTTGTTTGTTTGTTTGTTTTTTGCCATAGCAACTCATGAAACTAGCTAGTGAGGTGTGGCATGGTTATAATTTTTGTTTGTGGAGTGAGCCAGTCAATAAATAAGCATTTATTAAGAGCTTACTATGTATTAGGCACCATTCTAATATCTGAAGTGATGAAAAATCATGGATCTTTACAAGTACTGATGCACATTTGAAGTATACTCAAGAATCCATGATTAATGGTAGAAATTATTTTAAGAAGAGTTAGTAATTGAGTTAATGCTTGTCAAGTATATGGATTGTTCTACTCCATTCAGCAGACTGGAAAATTCCTGCGGTGTCAAGTAATTAGAAAGGAATTTTCAAGTATGGGATATCTTGAGGATTTTTGTGATCACAAGGAATTTTGTGAAACTACTAGCAAAGCGGTTATTATGTAGTGGTTTACATTTTCTCAGTAAATTCTCTAAATATTTATTACTTTGATAATCTTATCAGATATTTTTTTTAAAGAAAAGCAAGTAAATCTGCCTCTGGTTTGTGCATATCTCTTTCTAGAGATGGGGATGGAGGTGTGTGGAGCCTCTGGGTCATAGTTTTCAAAATCCATTATAATAATATTGATGATAATATTATTAATTAATAATAATTATATCTCTGAGGTAGACTTGTAGAGTCACCCTTATTTCATAGGTTTGAGAACTGAGGCCAGAGGAAATGAGCAGCTAAAGGTTATTGGTAAAAAGAGATGGGAATATCACAACTCTTTTTTTGTGTGTGTGCCAGAAAGTCCTACAGTGAGATGATATTTTCAATGAATTATTAGACTAGTAATTATCTAGCCCAGAAAGGGTCTAGAATTCTGCTAAATTCCAGAGAAAATAGAAAATCAGCTCTAGGTTCACTACTATGAGTCAGGTCTACTGGGACCAGACTGGGTCTTTACTGGCCTGTGTAGAGAGGAACAATATCTAATATCACTATCTAGCACAGAAAATACAATATAAAAAGTGGAAAAACCAGATCACCATCAGAGGAGGGTCTCCAGAATGATGAGAGAGCATAAAACCATGTAAATACAAGCAACTGGAGGGAAAAAAAGAAAAGAAAACGTGATGGGGAAGTACGATAGTTGTACTCAGTTATTTGAAGAGATATTCTATGGAGGAGGGACTGTCTTTATTTTTATTGTCCCTATAGGGCAGGACTAGCACCAATGAATAGAAGTTATAGTGAGGCAGATTTAAGCTCAACATAAGGAAATCTTCCCAATAAACTGTGTTCCCTTAAGGCGGGGTAACTTCCCCAAGATGGTCTTCAAGCAGAGGCTGAGGGACTAGCCACTGGGGATGCAGCAAGTAGAATTCATCTTTGGGTAGGAGACAGACAAGTCAATCAGGACTTAAGGAACAAATATCCCTGCTCCCTATATTAGGATATAGTACATGGAGAAGTGGGAATCTAGGAGGTTCATTAGTCACGGGGAGAAGATGAGGGTCCTCCCTTTGCACTTCTAGGGAGAAGAGGATCATTTCTAGCAGCTTTGGTGAAGAGCTGAGGCTACCTCCAGGGAGACTTTATGTCAGACATATTTTCAAGTTGGGAATCGTAGGTCATGTTTAGAATTGAAAGAGATTTCAGAGCTCATTTCTGATCTTGACAAGCAGTATGGCACAAAAGATAGACTCGCAGACTTAGTACTGACTCAGACACTAGCTGTGTGACCTTTAGTTTCTTCATCTGTACAATCAGGATCATAATACCTCTTATAAAGTTATTGTAGAAATAATAGAATCATAGCTTTAGAGCTGGAAGGGACATCAGAGTCCATTGAGTCTAATGCCTATATTTTATAGATAGGGAAACTGAGGCTCATAGAGGTTGAGCTCTTTGCCCAAAGTAACACAAATGATAATAATGTAAAATGTAAAGCACTACATAAATGTGAGCTAGCCCAATCACCTCATTTTATAAATGAGAAAGTGGAGGTCCATAGAGGAAGAATAACAGCTAATAGTTATTAAGTGAGCCAAGATTAGAACTCAGTATCACTGACTCTGACTCCAGTGCCTTTTCCACCACGCTCTGGTGGAACCTCTGTATCTTATATGGTCAAATGATGCACCATTGAAAGCATGGTGAGCAAAGCGTCATTCAACAATTTGTTATTCACTATCAGAATCATTTGCAAATACGAGCAACAGGTATAATGAGGGTGTGAATGTATGATGACAACCAACATTAGAGAACACTTTAAGGTTTTCAGAGTACTTTGTCTACAGTATCTTAATTGATCTTCACTTTCTAGTTAGGTGCTACAGATATGATCTGTACTTTCTAGTTGAGGAAACAGTTAGAGTGAATGGCTTGTCTATGGCCACATAGCTCACAATTGAATGCTGGCCTCTTCTGACTCCAAGTCAATGGAAACTTTTCTTTTCAGTATTATTCTTCCCTCTCTCTTCCCTCCACCCCCTCCCCATATTATACACGACACACTCATGTATAAGTACAATACATGGTACTAATATCCCATAGAAACCTTCTGTGGACTTTGATGATAAATATTTACATTCAGTACATGCTTTTTGATGTCATAAGTGTAACCAAATTCTGTTTCCTTTTTTAATCAGGAGGCTGGGATGCAGATGGAAAAGGCCCTAATGTCTGGGACACATTCACCCATCAGGGAGGAGATCGAGTTTTCAGGAACCAGACTGCTGATGTAGCTTGTGGCAGCTATACTCTGTGGGAGGAAGATCTGAAATGTATCAAACAGCTTGGATTGACTCATTATCGCTTTTCTCTTTCCTGGTCACGTCTGTTACCTGATGGGACGACAGGTTTCATCAACCAGAAAGGCAATTGTTTCTTAAAAATAGAAGGTTGCAGCTTTAATTCAAGGTTATTGCTGCAGTCTGGCATAATTAATCCAGTGTGCTCTTCTGCAGTGCAGCTCTGAAACTGCAAGTTTTGGGTGGGAGGGGGGAGCTGATTATGGGAGATTTTTTTTAATGGGTTTGCGTTAGTTGCCTAGTTAATATTCTAGGCTCTTTGAATATTTCCTTCTTAGAGGTTGGAATAAGGATTTTGTTTACTTAAGGTGCTATTTGGTTATTAGCCTTTGGTGCATTTCAAAGGGATGACATCTGAAATAGTTTTGAGTTGCTTAGAATTGTGTGGAGCTACAAAAAGGCATGCATAACTTAAGCTGTTATAAATTTAAGTGGGAATTAAAGTTGGGTAGTAATTGCTTGATTTATAGCAATAAGTGGTTTATCTGTTAGGAGTACTGGGTTATTTATGTGGCCCATCTACTGCTCTTACTTAGCATTTCACACTGTCCATCTGTAGAATCTTTCCTTTAAATAACTTCTTGTGGAGTAAATTATCTTACCTCACACCTCAGCATTTCCATGCTATGGTAATGATGCCTGTTGGCATAATTGAGAGATTTTGAAGTTAGAGGTTCATTTTTATGCAAAGTGATTACAGCCCTGGTATTCTGAAATTGAAATACTCTTAAGTACTCCCAAGTCCTGAGCTAACTGGTAGAAAGGGTATCCTGGAATCCAAAAGGATAAAGAGATTAGCAAGGTTTCTATCTGCTTTCCTAAAGACCTTAACCATTGAGCTGAAGTTAGGCAAATTCTTAACCAAATAATACTTTCAGGCTTTGTCCCATTGTTACAGAAGACCACCTTAAGAAGTTAAAACAACAACAACAACTGCTTATTTGTCCATCAGGCCCAATTCCTTTGCCTGCCTCTACCCCCCCATCTCAAATTCCTACCCATTTTCTAAAACTCAAATTGAGTGAAAAATTTTTCAGAAAAATCTTTTCTGGTTTATTAAAAGATCTTAAATCTAGAGGTAGAAGGATCTTAGAGATCATCTATCCACCTCTCCACCTCCATCCCCATTTCACTGTTGGGGAAATTGAAACCCAGGAGATAAGATGACTGGTCCAGGATCATATAGCTATTAAATGTCAGAAGCAGGATTGAACCAGGTCATCTGACTCTAGAAGCAGCATTCTTTTATTGTACTATGTGGCCTTCTGAGTTCTCCAAGTTGGGAACTGCCATTTTCTTGGTTCTTACACAACACCTTTTATTCATCGTTGAATAGATTTAACATGCCATGTTCCATTCTGCTCTCCCCCACTCCACCTCTGCCCCACTTTAGGCAGTAGAATCCATGAGGGCAGGGACTTAGCTAAACTCTTTTTATCTTACTAGGTTATGCCCTAGCACGTGACCTGCATACAGCTCTTAATACATGTTCGTTGAATTTTAAAATCAATTAATTCAGTCATAGGCTAGCTGAAGTAGCAGATGGTATGCCTATCTTTAAGAACTTCCAATTGAATAGTGTCCAGTAGAATTAATAATTATTTATGTGCATATATATAATAGCAAGTATTTATATAGTGCTTCATACATGTAAAGTTATTTGATCCTTACAACAACCCTGTGAGGTAGGTAATATCATCATTCTGATTTTATAAATGAAGAAACTGAGGGAGAAAGAGGATTAAGTGACTTATCCAAGATCATATTGCTAACTAGTGTCCAAAGGAGGATTCAATCTCAGTAGATATATATTTTATGTATATGTATCTATATATCTATATATGTGTATAAATATATGAATGTGTGTATATATATATATATATATATATATGTATGTGTGCATGTGCACATACTGTAAGTGCTACTTGATTAATAGATAAGGTATACAAAAAGGACAAGAAGAAAGGAGGCACATGGCCTACTGATATGAGTCCTGTTTCCTCTGCTAATATTAAAAAGCTCCCTGACGGCATGGATGATGTCCCAACTATTTTTGTGTCACCTTTTGCACCTACCATTAGGGCTTTTCATGCAGTGTGTTGGTCAGTCTTTTTGGTCATGTCTGGCTCTTCATGACCCCATGTGGAGTTTTCTTGGTAAAGATACTGGAGTGGTTGGCCATGTCCTTCTCCCTTGACTCATTTTATAGGTGAGGAAACTGAGGCAAACAGAGTTAAATGACTTACCCAGAATCACACAGCTAGTAAGTCTCTGAGGCTAGATTTGAACTCAGGAAGATGAGTCTTCCTGACTCCAGGTTCAGCACTCTATCCGCATGGAGTTAGTGGGTATTAAATTGTTGTTGAATGAGTGAATGGGTGAAATTGGGTGAAATGTGGATTGCTGATGGTGAAGTTGGAGCAATTGAAGCCAGGTAATATTTTACTGGTAACAGTTCAACAAAAAAATTAATTTAACATGGTTTCAATTACCATCCATTATGTGGAGGTTGCTGGGGATACAAACATGAAATAAAATACAGTCTCTGTCCTCAAGAGGCTTACTGTTTACTGTTTAAGGAAAAACATGCATACCAATGACTATGACACAAGCAAGAAGTGAGTTATAGAGAGAACTAGGCAGATAGCCCTAAGAAATACAGGAGAGAGAGAGAGAGAGAGAGAGAGAGAGAGAGAGAGAGAGAGAGAGAGAGAGAGAGAGAGAGAGAGAGAGAGAATCATATTTTAACTGGGCCATTTTAAATGACAACAGTATGCCTTAAGGACTTAGCTTTTGGGGGTTTGACCCCAGTTTTTTAAAAGCTACCTGATAAATATTAAACACTTTGTACTGAGTAAGACCATTGTGGCTTAGGTTCAGACCTAGTTTTCTTTCTTTTTTTTTTTTTTAGGCAATTGGGATTGAGTGACTTGCCCAGGGTCACACAGCTAGTAAGTGTCAAGTGTTTGGTCTGAGGTTGGATTTGAACCCAGGTCCTTCTGACTTCAGGGCCGGTACTCTATCCACTGTGCCACCAAGCTGCCCCCAGACCTAGTTTTCAATAAGTAGTAGCTCATTTCTCCTGGGCAGTGATCTGTTGAAGGAATTGGAATGGTACAGCTCAGAAAAGGCCATCATCTTTTTAAATAAACATTTTCTCAAAGAACATGGGAAGAATCACAAAGCCCAGAAGCACTAGCCTTTCTAAGGATCTCCCATAATGATTGACTACTGGTTTGGAAACCTGTAAAATTCTGTCTTTCGGGACTTGAAGGAGATTTCATGAAATGGAATTGTTCAGCATGCTTTTCTCTTGCAAATGTCAAGTTTTCAGGGCTTAAGAAGAAGCTGGACTTTTTTTTTTCCCTTACTGACCTCATATGTTTCTGTGTGTCCTGAAGTTTATGGTGCATTTTAACATGGATCCTATTAAAAATATCTTTTTAAGTCCAATCGATTAAAATTTCTAATAATTCCTTAGAAAAACAGAATCACATATTAAAATAAAAAATAAAGGAATTCATAGAATCAAAATCTTAGATTCATAGAACCTTGGAGGTGGAAACTACCTTAGAGATCATTTAGTCTAGCCCCCCAATCAACGTGGGAATCCCAGCTACAAACAGCAGTGAGAAGTAGCCAAGCGGCATTTGTTACACAGGCTTTTAGTGACAAAGATGATTAAAGTAACAGGATATGGATCCTTTGAACAAAGACTAGAGAATAAAAGGAAAGGGAATAAGCTCATATAACACCTTCTATGTGCCAGGCACTATGCTAAATGCTTTTTACAGTTTCCTTTTTTAGTTGAAGAAGCCAAGGCAAATGGATGTTAAGTGACTTGTATAGCGTCACGTGGCTACTGTCTCAGGCTAGATTTGAACTTAGTCCTTTCTGACTCCAAGCCTAGTGCTCTATCCACTGCACCACCAGCTGCCTCTAAAAACCTAATGATGGTTAATGATTGTCAAAGTACAATGTACAAAGTACAATGAGTATAAGGTTTTGGGGGAAGTGGGTTGGGAGTCCAGATCTATGATTTTTTTTTCAGTGTAGGGAAGTCCCAGTGTTGAAATTCCCTTCACAGATGCAGATCAGCAATTCTTTTATAACTTTTATTTTAGATAATTGTCTGGACCCCTGAGAGATTAATTGATTTATCCATAGCACATATCAAATAAAGGCTTGAACCTAGGTCTTCTTGTCTCCATGATATCTAAGGTGACACCTACACTTCCTATTTCCTTACCCTTCCCTCTGCTTCTTTCCAACTCCCTCGAGAAAATTGCAGTTTGGTTACTTTTCATGCTCAAAGAGGATAAAAGAAGATATGGACTTGACTTAAAGCCAGAGAGACTTTGTTCACCAATGGGCTACAGAAAGAGATTAGAGAATCTCTATCTTGGGACATCTTTAAGAAAAGAATAATAGGCCATTCTCTGCCCTGAATGATTGAATATTGAATTGTCTGAAGTGGGGTCCAGGACCATTTCCTCCATTGATGTTTTTTTCTTCCTATTCTAGACATGTGAACAAAAAGATGTTTGTTTTACAAAATGCATTTATTCAAGAACGTATTTGTAACCAAATTGTACTAGCCCCAAGATATAAGCATAGAGCCCTTTGGCAATTTGTTTTGGTATCAGAGAAATAGAAGGCCCAAGAGTCATCTACATATTTATCAATATTACCTATAGCAGCCTTGAAAAGAAATTCAAAACCCTTCTTTCTCAGCCTGCAGTCATATGAAAGAATTTCTACAGTACTGAATTTCAAAAGTTGCAGAATAATTCATAAGCCCCAATGCCCTCCTGTCGTGAAGGGACATACCACAGTTCCTCTCCTGATCCAGTATGAGTAAGCTTTACTCTCCAGAAGTAAAATGCTCAACATTGTGAGGTAAATTATTGACTACCAGATATCTTGTTGCTTGCAACAACTCAGAAATAAGAATTTGACTTCCATTGAATATTTTATTTACTTGCAATTCATCAAAGGATAAGGACCATGCTAGAATTTGCAGTCAACGGGGCAGGTTAACAATATGCATATTGTTATGTACATTCAGTCTTGTTTTCAATGGAGACTTGGTTATGGTGGAGGTGGTGGGAGGTATTCAAAGTAAAAACGGCTGTTCCTGCTCTCTTGTAGCTTAAAGCCTAGTAGTAGATGAATATGAGATACACACAGATAACTATGATATAATTTAACATATAATAAGTATATTAGAGAGGAGTAAGTAAAGTCCTGTGTAAACTCTGAGGGGAAAATCATTATTGGCCAGGGTACTTTAGAGGACATATCATGAGCTGGACAGTAAAAGATGGGTAGGGAAATAGTAGTGAAGAACAGGTAGGAGGGTGTTCCAGGTATAGGGAACACCTTCACCCTTTTATGTATCCAGGATTTAGAGTTGGAATGGGTCCTGGGGATCATCTCATTTATCTTCATTTGATAGAGAGGGAGATTCAGATCCAGATACATTAAGTGATTTGCAAAGTGGAGATAAATTCACACAGATGATAAAGTAACTGAGTGGGAACTTACCTCCCATCTTCCACTTCCAAATCCAATGCTTTTTTTTTTTTGCCTATACTATGTTGCCTTTCTGTCCTTCTTGTCTTCAGGTGATCACAAGGAGTAGGTAAAAATGGCTTGTTTAGATTACTTCAACTTAATTCAACAAACGTTTGTTAGGTATTTACTGTGTGCAAGGCACTGTACTAGACAGTAGGGGTACAAAGACAAAAAATGAAAGTCCTTGCCCTCAAAAAGCTTATATTTCATTGGTGAGTGGGAGACAAACCATACCATATGTTCAGATAAATGTAACTTACAATCCAGTGCCTCATACTTTGGGCTTATGTGAATCAGGTCTTATACTGATGGCTACACCCATAATAAAGGAGCCGTTATGTGGTATAGTAGATAGAGTGCTAGCCCTACAGTCAGAAGGACCTGAGTTCAAGTACAGCCTAAGACACTTACTAGCTTTGTGACCCTGGACAAGTCACTTAACACTGTTTGCCTTAGTTTCCTCATCTGTAAAATGAGCTTGACAATTTTCTTTGCCAAGGAAACCTCAAATAGGGTAACAAAGACTTGGATGCAACTGAAAATGACTCAATAATAATAATAATAACAACAAAATCCCCAAAATATCACTTTCTCTTTGGCTCATTATACATCCACCCTAAGTTTACACTAAGAAATCTTCAGGCTGTAGCTTATGTCTAGGTTTTCACAAATGTTAGGAAGCTATGAAAATACTCAGGATAACAATGCCCATATCAGGTATAGAACTACATTTATTTTATTCCACAGAGAATACTTTGTTTTGAATTGCAATTGTCTTAGAATTTAACTCAGACATGTTTTAAATGATTTTTTCCTATTCATTTCTAGTCTTTCAAAAACAATAACCATTTTTTCTATATCTTTTTTTTTTTTAGGAATCGATTATTACAACAAGATGATAGATGACCTGTTAGCAAATGGTGTTATGCCTGTGGTAATTCTGTATCACTTTGATTTGCCCCAACGTTTAGAAGATCAAGGGGGCTGGAAAACTGGGGCAATTGTTGAAGTTTTTGATGCATATGCCCAGTTTTGTTTTGGCACTTTTGGGGATCGAGTCAAACTATGGATCACTATAAATGAGCCCAATACCCTTGCTCTGTTAGGTTATGAAAACGGTGTATATGCTCCAGGTATCTCTAACCCTGGAATCGGAGCTTATCAGACAGCTCATAATATGATCAAAGCTCATGCCAAAGCCTGGCACAGTTATGATTCTTTGTTCAGGAAAAAGCAAAATGGTCAGGTATCCTTGGCATTGTTCTCCTTGGATAGCACCAGCCAATCCTACATCCGTAGCTGACCAGGAAGCTGCAAAAAGGGTCATGGCCTTGGCCCTGGATTTATTTGCAAAACCTATATTTATCGATGGTGATTATCCCACTGTCCTGAAGTCCCAGGTAGCTGCCATGAGTAAAAAGCAAGGTTATCCATCGTCAAGACTCCCTGAGTTCACAGAAGAAGAAAAGAGGATGATCAAAGGCTCTGCTGATTTTTTTGCTGTACAATATTACACAACCCAATTAGCAAAGCACCAAGAGAATTCAGAGGGAGAACTGATTCTTCTCAGGGATATAGATGCTGAGATATTTCCCGATCCATCCTGGCAGGTTTCACAACCTGGTTCTTGGATCTACGTGGTGCCATGGGGTATTCGGAAACTCTTGAAATACATTAAGGTAAATATGTACACATTTGTATTCATTTGCGTGTATATGCATACTCACACACACACTTGGCTTGAGAGAAAATCAGATAAAGAACAAGTAGGTTTTCTGACTATAGTTGAACAAAGAAAGCTAAAAGCCATGTAAAAGGAGGTCAGTTGGGACCGGGATCTTGAAACCAAAGAGCAAAAGTTTAGCTCTCATGTGAGAGTCAGTTAGGAATGACTGTAAGGTAGTGAGAAGAAGAGTGATACCTAATCCAATCCTTTCCAATTCAATCCAACAAGAAGTCATTAAGCACCTACTGTGGGAAAGGCACTAGGCCAAAGCAAAAACAGATCCCTTCCCTCAAGGAGCATAAATTCTATTGGTTCAATTTCTCACTTGGCAGTAAAGTTGTTTTTATTATTAAGTGTAGCTTGATATAACATAAACATAGAAAACCACTTTGTGGGTCTGGCAGAAAGTTCTTGTTCATGGCCTTTTCTTCCTGCGTAAGGAGGGTTGTATGGATGCCTATTTGGTGGTTGAAGGGTATGGGAGATAAATCAAAGTATTTGCTTCAAACAGGTACACATATTTACAACCTATTTCTTAGAGGATCACAAGAAAATATTGAGGGTAGTAGATTATATAAGCTCCTTGAGGACAGGCACTGGTTCACTTTCGGCATCCTTAGTGCCTAACATACAGCAAGTGATTGGGAAATGTTTCTAGATTGATAGATAAGTGTGGAGTCAACCAGTGCAAATTTTATGGGCCAAATAGAAGTTTTCATAATCCAAAGAGTTGTTAGAAATGACTTCAAGGATGCTATGACTGTGAGCTCTGAAAGTGATTATAAGTATTGCAAGAATCAGACACTTTCATTTATACTGGATGGCACATAACACAGCTGAAATGAACATTTCAACTTGTCAGTCATCAGGACCCCTCCTGTGGGGTTATAGGGGATGCAGCTGCTGGCAGCACCAAGGGGTTAAGGAGTAGTTACAATAAGCAGATGCTGATGCAGGGAAGATATTTCAGTCTTCTCATTAAAGTAAGAGTCATTTCACTGTCTTCATGGATATTTGCACAATTTTGCTTTTCCATTGTTAGTCATAAAAGGTCAGCTCGTGGAAAATTAAGTTAATAGGGTCAGTGCAATTTGATGGAAACTAGTTTGGGGGTTGTAGATAAGAGAAGATAGAGGGTAATGCACCTGATTTTATGAGCTTTTTTTACATCTGTTCAGAATAAAACTTCTGCTCTCTTGTTCTAGGATACGTATAATAACCCTGTAATTTACATCACCGAAAATGGGTTTCCCCAGGGTGACCCTGCTCCACTTGATGACACTCAACGCTGGGAGTATTTCAGACAGACGATACAGGAACTGTACAAAGGTACCATTTGAAATGATGAAAGATCAATTGTGCAAACTTAATATAATTTTCCTATGTGCCTATTTGCATTCAGCAAAGACCAATGATTTTTGAAGCTGAAATTCATGTAAATCAGTATAAATCAATGTGATTAGAAAGAAGTATTTAGGAAGAAGGAAGGTGAGTCTATCTTCAATCTCCTAGAATAGAATCAAATAGAAAATGGACACCTGTTGAACTTAACTTTGTAAAACCGATCCCAAAGGTGAGAAGAGCATGGTTCTTTATTCCCCCAAGATTATAATTTACCAACTCACATATTTGTTTGCATATTTTAATAACCCACATGCCAAGACATAGCCTGACAGATAGACAATGAAAAGGTCTTTTAATTAAATATTAGAGCAGTATGCTTCAGAATGACAATGAATATTTTTTTTAAAGGAATGACTGGTTAACTCAGGAAGAAACAGTTCTTGCGTTGTCAGAACTAGGCATTGTGTTTTAAAATATTAATGTCTCCTGATGATTAAATTCCCCTGAATTCTCTTCATTGGGAACCAGAGGTAAAAGTGTTCTTATGTGGGAGTTTTTCCATTGCTCCTTGTAGTTTATCCCTTCCTAGCTATCCTGTGGGTTTTTGTGAGGGCTCAATAGATTATAGATTATCAGCAGCTGCAGTTTGGAGAGGGAAGGAAATGACTTGTCAAGAACATTTATTGTTTAGCACATAGCATAGTGCCTGGTACATAGTAGGTGCTTAATAAATACTTATTAACTAGCTACCACTGATAAGACTGGGCAAATTGGATCTCTTTGCCTCTGATCTTGTGCCGCTTTTAGTGTTAATCAGGAACAAATATTTTATTACTATATAAAGTTACTTAATCAGTAATATAAAGCCTTTCAAGTTTTCAGTGCAAATAAAGGGGTTTGATGAAGCACGAACTGGTCATATTTTAGTATGAAATAGTAACTCTGAAGGTTAGCATTAAAAGTGAGTGATGTTATAGGTGATGTGGGGACTAGGAAAGTCTGTAGAGGTGCAGGAAGCAGGGAACGGGTACTATTTAAAAAAACAATTAGTTTCTTGAAAAGGAAGTGGATTATAGTAAGTCCTAAATTAAGAGTCAGGAAGAATTAGGTTCGAATCCTGCCTCTGACACTTAATGTGTGACCCTAAACAAGTCACTCTATGTATCCCAGACTACTCCATAGGATTTATTTTTTAATTCATAAACTGTCCATTTCCTATGCTGTTGGAAGGAATTTCTATGTCAGGGGTCATTCGTACTGAGGCATCAGAGGTGGATGTCAGTGGAGGAGTTTTGTCTTATGGTGTATAAAGTCTTTATTCATAGCTCTCTCCTAATCTTGGCCTAATCTCTGACACAGGTAAGCAATAGCCTGGATGTGAGGAACCCCCTTGCTCTATGACCTTGGCTAAGTTGCACATATCCTGGTCCTGAATTTCTCGTCTGTAAAACAGAGCTGCACAGACTTGTTTCCTTCACAAAGCTCCCTTAAGGCATAGCTGATGATAATGATTGGCACGAATTCCATAAGTAAAAAGCACCAGGTGAACGATTAAAAATAATAACCAGCCAAATAAGACATTAGCAGGAGCGCTGTAGGTGAGAGTTTAGCCAAAACCCAGGGAGTCAGATGGATGATGGTTCTGTGATTTCTGTGAACAAATCATTCCCTCCATCATCACATATAAAGATGGGCTCATAATGACACTAGAGTTGAATCAATGACGTTCTCCTGGAGGTCTTGTCTCTCTCATTAGAGAAAATTCCACCGCACTTAACAGAGCAGTAAAAAAGTAAGCTGATGTCTCTATTTCTTTTGGGGAAAAGAGGCAGAAATGGAATAAAAAATCCATTTTCTTTTTTTTTAAAAAGGAAAAGAAATCAGTTTGAGACCAGGTTATGTTCTCTGTGTTACATAAGTGTATTTGAATAGTCTATGAATGTCTAGACATAAAAAATTTGCAAGTTTGAGGACAGATCACCTTCAAGTTATTGTCTTTGGCATCTGCACCTTCTTTACAAATGCAACCTTGTCATTTTTCCAAATTGTTTTCCCCGAGTTAGAGTGGGCATGATGTTTTCCTAAGTATGTGTGGATCTCAGCATTTTGCTTTTACCCTCATGTAGGGGAAAAACACCTTTGATATAGCACAGGCCTCAATAAAGGAGGAAGCTCACCATGGATGTCATAATGTTGGCCCTATGGCTATTTACAGTCAGAGTTCTGCAGAGAAGGGAGCAGCAATGCCCCGCTCCATTATTATTGTTGAAAGGGTTGCCAGGCTGGATAAAAAGTCAAAATGTTGGCAGTAGAAGCAATAATCTGGCAAGTGGATGCCTAGGATAGCTTTGTCATGTGAATATTTGGCCTGTTTTTGACAATAGCTGGCATTGCTAAATCTTTAAGTTCCTTAAAAATAATTATCATAATACTCTTCTTTCTAAACACTACACCGACCTTTGATTTTCTCGAGGGGCTTTATATGGATCTGTGCACTATTATAAAGTGAAGGGGTTGCTGAAACTGGGCCAGGTTTTATTTTATTTTTGTCACTAGAAAATAGCCTTTTCCCTGGGGTTGAAATTTCTTGGAAGATGATCTAGGCCCAAAGGGAGACTGAATAGATTGAGGGAAACCAGGTGGCTCTTCCAGAGAGACATAACCACATTCACTTGGATATGTGCATTTAGAGAATGAGTATGGATGTCCTAGCTATTAGGACGAACTACCTCCTTGCTGTATCAAAGGGATTATGTGGGTTGGTGGGAGAAGAGGGTAGAGAAGCACATCAGAGAAATAATTTATAATTTCCCTTCCCTATGCTTCTCTCCTCTGCCCCCTCCAATGATTTAATTCAGTCTTTGTGTAAATTGACTCAGGAATTTGGATAAATATATTAAGAATGGAGGGCATTCCTAAATATATTAGGATAATATGGAACGATATTGTAGCATAAAGGAGATTTAAAGTTAGAACTTGGTGGAAATACGTAGATCTGAAAGTGACTAGAGGAAGACAGCATGGTTAGGTAAAATGAGGTCATCAGTTTCAACAGTTATTTGGGCATGAATTGGAATGGGGGCATCTGATTAATAAGAAGTGTTTACCATTAGAAGGACCCCTAACTCTAGTGGAAGGTTCCCTCCATGGCATCCTTAGACACAAAGCAGAAGTCAGATATAGACGTTTTGAATTCTTGATGAATTCTTGGTGACAGGATGCCCTTTGTTGTAATGTAATCATTATACTAGATCACCTTTCTGGGTTGAAAAATAGGGATAACAATAGGACTGACCTGGCAGGGCTGTTGTCTTATTTATCTGTTTATCACCTAGCATCTAGTGTAGTGTCTTACACATAATATTGTGCAGTACATGTCCACTGAATTGAATTGTAAGTGTGTAGTGGCCATCTGGTAGAGTAGGTAGAATGATAGACTTGGAGTCACTAAGAAATATACTCAAATTTTGCCTTGAACTCTTATTAGCCATGTGACTCTGGGCAAATCACTTAACCTATGTGAGCCTTGGGAAGAGTGATACTTGTAATACTCATGGTTGTAAGGGCCAAAGGAGATAATGTATGCAAGGTACTTTGCAAACCTTGGAACACTATGCAGTGACCAGTTATTATTATTATTGAGGCAGCCTTGTGTAGCAGATAGATAGCTGTCCTTGAAGCCAGGAAAACCTGGGTTTAAGTTTTGCCTCTTTCACATCCTAGCTGCGTGACTCTGGTCAAGTCGTTTAAAATCTAGGCATACTAACTGTGTGACCCTAGGCAAGTCACTTAACCCCAATTGCCTAAAAATATAAATAAAATAAAATAAAATAAAATAAAATAAAATAAAATCTAGGCAACTCTCAAAGTGCATGGAAAGTACTGACCTGCATTGATAAATAGAGTTTCCCTACATGGGATATCCTATACCAATGAAAATCACAAGTCTAGGTCTTATCATTACTTCATCATCATCATCATCTTCATCATCATCAGTCCATCCCAAGAAATGTCAGCAGGTGAATCACATCTATAAGAAATGTAAAATAAATAGCTCTAAAAATTGCTTTCCTTCCCCACAAAATATCTTCCACACTAAAGAAAAGAATGATTTTAGCAACTTTGTGTGCCAACCCAGCTTCCCAGTCCAGTGCCATGCCTGAGCTAGCACAGCAGTCTATGATTGCAGGGAAGGTTTGTTAATGACCAGCTTTGGACTCTTAATGACAAAACCCCACAGCAAGATGTCATTGCAGTTATTGAAGACTTCACTGAGTGTTGAAGCTGATACCTTGTAACAAGAAGGTTGTAAATCTTTAGAGGCTGGATTCTTTACCATGACAAGATGCTGAGAAAAAAAAAAATGATGCTTCTTTTGGCAGGACTCCTCCTGCTTCCATCCAGTCCCCCTCAATTTCCGATGCAAGAAGGGAAAGGCAAAATATGTCCATTTCCCCCAAACTGCATTTTCTGGTAGTTACCTACGTATTCTGACTTCGGGTCACAGACAACCTAGTACATTTAACTGGGCAAATTGTATTAAGCAACTGCAATCTCTAAATGAACATTAAAAACAAAACAAAACAACAACAAGAGCAAACCTCCAATCTAAAGAAAGGTCTCAGAGGTTGACACATTAAACATTCAAAAAACTGTAGCAATTAAAAATTGGTTGCAAATCCAGAACAGAAAGCAAAATCTCATTTACTGATGCCCTCCATGGCCTCAACCATGTATTTTTTTTAAAGAGATTTTGAAATGGGTCTGTCTTGTATGTATTTGTCATTTTACGTCTGTCTCTTCGACTCCATCACTCCACCCTTACCCCCACACACAGACATTCCCTGAGAACCATTAAGGAGTAAATCTGCTCATGGTCTGAGCTTTCATGGGGCTGGTTAATGAGTTTGCACTGCACAGTCCCTTTCTCTAGGAGGCAGTGTGGAACAGTGGAAAAGGTCACTGGTTTTGGAGTTAAAAGACTT